ATTAAACAACACTCACTTAAGAATTAAGCCTTATAAAAATCAGTAGTTAGAAAACATGCCATCACGTTTAAAAAAAAAAAAAAAGTTAAATTCTCTTAACAGACAAAAAAACCCATTTAACGTCACTAAAAGGACTGCAAGTGCAACTGGAAAAGAATTACTTCATGGATACAATATATTCTGTCTTGACACAACATGGTATTGTTACAATAGCACTACAGATCAGTAAGATACAAATGATATGATCAAGGACTACCTACCTACCTGAGAAATGAAGTAGCAGCATTATCAGATAAAAAGAAACTGCAAAGACCAATTCCAGACACAATACTTTTATTATCCTTGATTTAGAATTACACTGACAGTCCATCTCAAGATAAAACCACCTTTGTTGCCTCTCCATTACTACAGAAATAAATTGAACAAATTTGAGATGATCAGACTTTAACAATCTCTCACTACTTTATCTTCAAAATAAGACCAATTACGTTTCCACACATTTTTCTACAAACTCAAATAAGCAGATTTACAGCTAATTTCAACCAATTAATCTATAAAAAGAGGACCCTCCCAAACAAATTTACTGATGTAAAAGTAGATTTTCACCTACAAATTAATAAAGAGCTTTAATCTCTGCTCTTGCTTTTATTTCAAAAGGATGAGAACATGAAACATTGAAATAAGACAAGTGCCACTCTAAGTGAAATATTTCCCCATCCCATCCACGTGAAACACCTGATAACTCAATCAAGTATTTGCTTTCAGTTTAATTTCAGCCCTATATCTTCTTGCTGCTTTTTACAGGGGATTGTAATATATGCATCTGGTTTTTTGTTTGGAAAACCCTGAATTCTCAAGATATACCTAGTCACCTCATCTCCATGAGGAAGCAGCACAGAGCAAAAGCATTTCTTCCAGAAAACCTGATTGCTAGGAGGAAGCAGCAGTTAAAACTACACATCACACATGAGTGAAAAAAATTTTTTTTTTTTTTTTAATTCACTGAGAATGAATCCTACTGGTCAGCTCAAAGAAGAAAATACCAACACAGTCTAAATTACAACAGGGAAGATGGACACAAAACAATTAAATATAAGTGTTATGGGTCCCATCTTAGATAGCCAAAGCCTCGTTTTCAGTTATCTATTAGCAGAGAAACAACCACATCTGCAAAAGGTTTCAGGAAATAGATGACAAAAAATCCTGGCTTTCTTGTTTTAAGGCAAAAAGCTTAGAAGAATTATGAAGTGTGGCCAACTGGATTAAAATTAACCTGAAGAGGACACAGCTACAAGAACAGAAGACAGAATTCCTCACCATCACGTTAAAAATCAGAAGTGTTACACTAGGTTGTCACAGTTTATCCCCAGCTGTCAACTCAGGCCCACACAGCCACTCACTCACTCCCTCCTGATGGGATGAAGGAGAGAATCAGAAGGATAAAAGTGGGAAAACTCGCAGGTTGAGATAAACACAGTTTAACAGGTAAAGCAAGAGCCATGCACATAAGCAAAGCAAAACCAGTAATTCATTCACCGCTTCCCACAGGCAGGCAGGTGTTCAGCCATCTCCGAGGAAAGCCAGGCTCTGTCACGCGTTAACCGCTACTTGGGAAGACAAACTGCATCACTGTGAACATCCCCTCCACCTCCCTCCCTCCTTCTTCCCCTGGTTTTATATACTGGGCATGACACCACATAGTATGGGCTATCCCTTTGGTCAGCTGGGGTCAGCTGTCCCAGCTGTGTCCCCTCCCAACTCCATGTGTGCTTCCAGGCCACTTGGTGGGGTGGGGTGGGAGGCAGAGTGGCCTTGACACTGTGTAAGCACCTCTCAACGATAACAAAAACACTGCTGTGTTATCAACACAGTTTCCAGTACAAATCCAAAACACAGTCTGACCAGCTACTCTGAAGAAAACTAACTTATCCCAGACATAGCCAGGCTCTGTGCATTAGTTAAATTTTAAAAAACCCCAATCCAACACTACTATTTCATGAAATATGGTGAACTAGCAATTTACTAAAAATGTAGAAGAGGAAACCTTCATTATAGGTACATTATAATCAATACATGTATAAAAACTACAGCAGACAGTAAAAATTTTCAGGCCTAGCTGTCCAGCTGGGCAGCAAGTTCTTACATTTCTTGCATATATATTTTGAAAATAACTTATTTTCCTCTAATTTTCCTTGGTTTTGAGATAGCATGAGAAATTCAATACCTGTGACATGTATTTCAAATAATTTTTATTATTTTTACATATAAACACTGGAGAATAAAATCAAAATCAACTCCTGAGATATATGTATGTCCATGACTGTCCTACCCTCATAAAGTATTAATATACCATGAAACAAAAATGTGTTACACTGACAGTAATTCCACTGTGTTTTCACCTACCACGTGATTGTACTTACCTTGGAATTCAGCTGTATAGATGGAGCCATTTACAAGAAATGTTTGATACAGAAACAAATTGCAGAGCTTCCCTTTCTTAAGTGTCCTTTGCAAAACGCAGGCCCATTATTGATCAGCAAGCTCTGCACATCAGAAACACTCCTCACCCACCAATAATTAAAAAGGTAACACAAGAAAAGCTGCACTGCTTCAAAATAGTACCAATTAACAGCTATTTAAATAATTACGTATCACTAGAAATCCCCCAATGTCTCTTTAAACCTGAAGACAAAAGGTGCCAAAAGATATTTTGGCATCAATCTTCAATAGGAAGCTCTTTTTTTGCCATACCTTAGCACAGTGTGAATATTACATAAAGCCTCAATAAATTTCATAGCTTACAGCAAAATAGAGTGAGTCTTTCTAAAACTTTTTCATCTCCCTTCCACTTGAAATATGTTTTCATAAATATAAAAGCTCTGGGATAAAGTATTACTGAGCATTTACAATAACTTCTACAATTCTTTTGAGACATAGAGAAAGATAATCATAAAAACTAAAATACAGAAAGATAATTGATTTGAATAAGACAGTGAGGGAAACAATATAGTTGGACAGCCTCTTCTCTACATAGACACATAATTCAATATATTAACATGCACTACTGAAATATTTTAATTTTTTTTTCAAATAAATAAGACATCAATTTGTATTTGAATAATAGGTGTAGAAAACAACAGAAAGATAGGACAAGTGGGCACCGGCTTAAGCTCTGCCAGGGTAGGTTTCAGTTGGATATTAGAAAGAAGTTCTTTACAGAGAGAGTGATCAGGCATCAGAATGGCCTGCCCAGAGAGGTGGTGGATTCACCGTCCCTGGAGGTTTTTAAGATGAGGCTGGATGTGGCCCTGAGTGCCATGATCTAGTAATCATATTGGGGTTGGATCAAGGGTTGGACTTGATGATCTCGAAGGTCTCTTCCAACCCAGTTAATTCTATGATACTTCATTATACACCTGGATTTTCAACTTTGATGATATTCAGACTTTAATAAGGAAGTAATTTTTAGGGCCTGTTCAAAAATTGTTTACAATTTAAAAAAAATTATTCTGACTTCGGATTTTCCAAAATTCTGACAACTATGACACCAACTTAGTAACAGATAACCATCAAAATTCTCTTAGATATGTTCTCATGTTCTTGACAAAAATCTCCTTGTCAACATCTACTCATTCAGTGTATAAGGAAATCAAATATAGTTAGACCTGAAGATAGGTTATTTCAGCTATCAGGTTAGTAATGATGCTTATCTGTATAAAATCCTACAAGCTTGAAAATAATACAAACTGTTGCATGGGACTACTTCAACAACACTGAACACAAATATATTTTATTAATACAACGAGCTGTTAAAAACCAAGCAAAAGTGGACACTTACAAATTCATCATTTTTAAGAGAAAAAGGGCAGTAAATTAGTCACTCTCCATGCTGGCTCATTCTTTGTTATGTGCTAAACAGATTACAATCACTGTGCCAAAATTAGGAGCGCAAGATGGTTTTACAGTTATAACCAGTATTTATACTGAATTAATGCATCCCAACTGCAGACTGGGATTTGACAACCTAATGCTTTTATACTTCATTTTTATCGCAAATGAAACAAATCGACTTACTTAGAAAGACGCAGCTGTGAAATTCTGAGGGTTTAGTGATAAAACTAAGGTTTTATTTTTCTTTTTAGTCAGCACAAAAAAAAAAAAAACCATTGGTGGTGTGCAGCCACCATCACCATCATAGTTATATACTACCAACAAAAACAAATAAAAAAATAATTCAGGTTGCACAGTTTAAGGCTGGTGAATACTGTATTGGCAGAACATTGCTGCAGTTGCCACATGAGCTTCTGTGACCAAAAAAAAAAAAAAAAAAAAAAACAAAACAAAAAAAAACCACCAAAAAAAACCCACCAAAAAAAAAACACCCACAACCACCACCAACCAAAAAAATCAAACCTCTGAAACCAGAAAATCCATGCCAAAGTTTTTCCAGTTGGCAATATATGTCAAATAGGACTAAAGGAAAATCCAGCACATACCTGTTTTCAAAAAAATCTCCAAAAAGGTAAGAAGACTAAATGACAATCATTAAAATGGATTATTACATAAATGACCTCTTCTTCCAAGGTTTTAATTATCTTTTACAAGACCTCTAATATGATCCCTTCTTTAAAAAAAACTGCTCAACAGTTACCTGTTATATGACAACATCATTGTCTTAGATTTATGAAGACTCTGCTATATGTCATATCATATATTAAAATTTTTACTAAAATCAAAGGTCTTACAACTTTAATAAATATAGTCTTAAAAAACATTAAATGTACAATTCTATTTACATGCAAGTCCATTAAAAAGAACAACCTCCAGAAGAAAATGGTCTCGAAACAGGCCTATTTAAAACACAGAAGATCCACTACTTTATTGGAGGTGATGATGTGTTTTAAAAGGGCAAGGAACAGATGCTTATTAACTGACTGCAAATGTGTTACTGGCTACTGGAAACACTGAAATAATTCCACGAGTCTGTATTGTCTCCCCACCTATGTCTTCGCTGTAGAGGTGGTCTTTGATTGTTTTTGTGGGGAGGTACCACTGAATTCATGACAATAGGTATAGATATTTGATATTCGTATCGTTCCAACATCTGAGCAATCTTCTCACGAGTGACCCCATGTTTATTCCTCCTATAAAAATAAAAATTTAAATTAATTGTCTGGTATTTTTAGTTAGATATAAACATGTATAACTATATTTATATGTTTACAGTCTTTAAGAAAAAAACCTCTAAATTCTTAATATTTTTCTTCTTGCTTTTCATATTTAAACTTCTATTATGCTGTACCCTTATTCTCTAGGTATTCAACTTGTGTTAAGGTTTAACAATTTTCCACTGCATATACTAAGTAACAGTAAACAATACCCTCATTCTTATTCATACAGAAATGTGATGTTATACACCTGTAACTATATAATATATTGTTATATAAAGTCCCTGAAGGACTTTGCTTTCTATTCATTCATCAGATTTTACATGGTATACTAGCTAATGAGTAAAGGGATGAATAATACCATAGACTAATCCTTATGAGAGCAGTGTTCAAACTAGTATAAAAAATATGCAACTAAATGGTTTCTAGACTTAATGATAGAATATTTTCTCATCAATACATCTCTTATCACCAAGAAACCTTGTCCAATCCGAATTATTTCCACATTAAACAAATAGGGAATGTATTTCTGCATCTTTGTGCTTTCTGCCAGGGACAGAAGAAGCACGGGCCTTACCACGTTGCTCAGTTCTGTAGAGGGGAAATCAACACTGGGAACAAACAGGCTATACTGGAAAGAGGATACTCCATATAGAAGCATTTTGAAAGACTGACTTCCTCACCACCCATCCCCTCCATGAGTTTGTGCGTATTATTACAACAAATAAGTAAGTATCAAGTTGATAAGGTTTCAAAGAATACTGCAGGCTTCTTAAGGTGCATTTTATCAGCTTTCTTTCTGTGAAGAAAATGCTTAAGTAGAATATTTCTCTCACAGAAACTCTTCCCTGAGACAACATCAGAAGCAAGACTGATAATCACTTGTGGCGTGTTGTTTACATGCTTCTAATTTCTACACTGTGCTAAAGTGGTCCAGGAGCAGTTGCATGTTGAACTTATCAGTTAGTGAGCCTTAATAGTTTTGATTTTATTCACAAATATGAAAAATGTTAATGGTAGAGAAAAAACACAATCCCCTGGAAAAACTTGGATACTATAAAGCACTTAACACTCATGACAGACAAAATATGAGAAGAGGAACTCTAAGTCCTTTTATGCCAAGTGGTGGAAGCAGAAAGTTACTCAATATTTTCCCTATCCTTTAATACTCCTAGAAGAAAATTACAGCTCAAGTGCTCTGGGAATAGAGTGCACACTCATCCACAATTGAATGGATTTGTGTATAATCACATCATAGATGAGTAAGTACTTTTCCTAATAAGGAAAGGCAGGACAATAAAAGAAAGGTCTAATAAGGAATAAGGCAGGATAATAGAATCACGAACAGCAAAACTGGATTAAACATAGAAACTAATTGAAAAAAGGAAATAAATTTGCTGTACAATGTCATTTAATACTGTGATCTCCTCTTCAGGCACATCCTTACTCATCCTTTTGCAGTTTGGCTATGCTGAAAGAGCACAAAGCCATCTATCCTGAACCAACACAGACATACCTGCAAAAGCTCCTAATAGACAGTTATAATACAGAAGTTGGTTTTGATTAGAGCAACACAGAACCTATTGATAAATGCAAAGTTCTGTCACTATGAAATGTTTCGACACTACCCTCAGCAAATCTGCTTATGATACAAAACTGGAAGGAGCCCTCTCCTGAAGCAACTAAAAAATAAAATGAAAATTTACATCACCACCTTTCTTAAATTCTCAAAAATAAAGTTTCCAGACACTGGTCCTCTATTCAAATATTTATAGCAAGTAGAGCTGCTAAAACATTTCTAGGAACCTTCTAAAAACTGGTAGCTGCACTTCACAGTTCAAGTAAACCTTTGGGTTTGGGAAACACATAAACTTTACTCCTACAACTAATGACTAAACAATACAATTCAATAGTAACTACACATCTGTTTATCCTTTTGCCTGTTAAGACCATGTGGAAACACGAATTTTCCTGGAAACTGAGTCTGTCTCATGTAATGGAAATTTCATGCTGAATATCTTACAAGTGTCTGATTATTAGCCCTCCTAACTTGGCTGTGCTGTACCCCAAACTAGAAAAACTTACTAGAATTCATTTCATCTCTAGAAAAAAAGCTAGGGGTAGCTTAGGAGCAGAAGGTGAAAACTTTAAAAGATTTGTAAACACAATAAAGTCCAAGTTAATCAGTAATGTAAGCACTGTACAACACTGTGCAGTGTAGGGGCTACTTACAAAGCTGAAACAATTATAAGCAGTCGGATGGACGCATATAAAATGACAATCAGTGAGAGAACTATCATCAACTGTGAAAATATTACATTACATTTCAAACAAAGAAATATTCCTAAGTTAGACTGATACCTCATAGATTCCTAAAGCATATACATATTATTAACTAGGAATAACAAGTAGCTCCTAAGGAGCCTCACAACCCAGTAGTTCAATGACCTATGTTCAACAGTACTCTAAATCAGATCCTCTGAACACTGGGAACAATTCCAAAAAAGCTTGCAACGGAATAATATAAAATATGAGCTCTCTTTTTAACTTTTACTAATTAGTAATAAACTGTTGTCCTTTAACACTGTAAAAGAAGGCACCTGTAAAAGCAGACAAACCAAAGTCCTATACTGATGCACTCCTTGCCAAATGCGGAATTTCTTTTTGTCTCTTATCTATTTCATGCCATCAGCATTCTGTAGCAACAAATTTATCAAAATAATTATTCATTATAATAACAGTGATTCTTACAGGGGTCATTCATTTTTCTACACATGTCCAATAAAATTTTAATACTGATTTTTTGGGCCAACAAGACAGGGCCAGTATTTATTTGTCTCTTTGTTTATCCATAAAACTTCCATTTAAAGGTATGTCTCAAAATGCCTATTTAAATAAAATACATTTCATACTACTAGTAAAGTAGTTAATAATACATTGAATAAAATATAACTTACTGTATATATATTTATGCATGCATATTTATCTGCCTATCTCTATATGTAAAGTACCATGATTTCTGCAAGAGAAACCTTACTTTTCTAATTCTTCAGGATCAAACTTCCACCAAGTATCTGGTTCATGGAATTCCACTCTGTAACCTTTTTCTAGAGCCTGCAGCAAGTGAAGAAACATATGTGATATGTATATCTTTATTACATAAAACATAAGAAAAAATTATTAGACAAGTATAATAAACAGATGTAGCAAACTCTGCAGTGGTAGCATGCTCAGTTTCACTTACCCCCAACCTGTCTTAGCTTTTGTTCCAGGCTAAGTAAATTAGATCAAGTAAATCCTTAAACTGATCCAAACCATTGCCATACCAATTAGTAATTGTTATCAATAAGTAGTCTCTCTCTTTAGAAACCTGAGCAAGGAAAATGTTTCTGGACAAAACACACCAACTTATCACATGTGAACCTAAGTTTGGAAAATTGTAAAGAATTACATAATCATGCAACAAAACTTACCACTTCCACATACGGTTTCATTTCCCAGGCTTGAGTATTAGTGTTGTCTATTATAACTGGAGATCTTCCCTGCTCCATTGCTTGCTTTGCTGCAATGAAAAATAGCGCAAATTAAAGATCTAAACTACTCCCGATGTTTTTTTTTCACTAACCTACTCTGACACACACTGTTCTAAGAGAAGGAATAAAAGGTACAGACAGGAATGACAAGTAGAAGCAAGAACCTGAAGGACAGGATGCCATCCAGAGAACAAACTCAAGAAGCGGGTGCATGGGAATCTCATGTGGTTTCACAAGACCAAGTGCAAGGTGCTGCACCTGGGTCAGGGCAACCCCCAATATCAATACAGGCTGGGAAATGAAGGGATTGAGAGCAGCCCTGCTGAGAAAGACTTGGGGGTGCTGGTGGATGAGAGGCTGGATGTGAGCCAGCAACGTGTACTTCCAGCCCAGGAAGCCAATTGTATCCAGGGCTGCATCAAAAGCAGCATGCTCAGCAGGTCAAGGGAGGTGATTCTGCTCCTTTACCTCCCCTTGGTGACTGCATCCAGCTCTGGGATCCCCAGCACAGGACATCGACCTGTGGGAGCAAGTACAGAGCAGGGCCACAAGGACAATGTGAGGCATGGAGCAATCTCTGCTATGAGGAAAGGCTGAGAGAATTGGGATTGTTCAGCCCGGAAAAGAGAAGGCTTCAGGGTGACCTAACTGTGACCTTCCAGTACCTGAAGGGAGCCTACAAGAGAGGTAGAGAGGGACTTTTTACAAGAGCATGTACTGACAAGACAAAGGGGGAATGGCTTCAAACTAAAAGAGAGTAGGTTTAGATTAGGTATCAGGAAAAAAATCTTTATTGTGAGAGTCGTGAGGCACTGGAACAGTTGCCCAGAGAAGCTGTGGATGCCCTACCCCTGGAAGTCTTTAAGACCAGCTTGGATGGAGCAACTAGACCTAGTGAAAGGTATCCCATAGCAGAGTAGTTGAAACTAGATGGTCTTAAAGGTTCTTTCCAATCCAGGCCATTCTATGATTCTATGGTCTATCAAGTCAACAATGCTAAAAACGTATCAAAAGCAGCTGGAATTTCAGTAGAAGTGGCAGGATGAACTGAAATAGAAGAAACTTCACAAAGCCACAAAAGTGAACCTAAAGGGCCTAAAACCCTAACTGACACTAATTTCAGAATTAAAGTCGCAGTGGCAAATTAATTCCAGTATTTCCTAGTATTTGTGCACTTGCCCTTACAATTATTATATTAAATGCATATGTGTTTTAGTACCAAAATATGTATTTCACTGTCTTGTAAACATCTGAGAGTTTGAAACTCTGTTCATTTAAAAGAAATCAATTTTTTTTTTCCTAAAGGGTCTCACTGGTAACTATTTTTCTCATACTTACTATATTAAAGATTCATTCCATCCCCAAAAATGGGGGAAGGATATTTTACTATCATAATTTTCTCATTTGTGAAAATACATTTTTGTGTTCTCCATAATTCTGACATAAGGATTACAAAGCTCTAGCTAAATATGTTGCAATATTAATAGCAGCAACTATAGAAATAATTTATGCAGCTGAATTTATCTATATGAAACTTCAACCTAGACAAACTCATTAGATAAGGATCCCAACTACCATGACAACCATTTCCTCTGAAGTTCACATTTCATGTATTTCAGGGACCCACACAAAAATGAAAACAAGAGTTTCTGAAGTACTTCCAGTCAGAGAGCTCTATCTAGTCAAAGCAGGAAGTAAGAACTGACTGTAACTTCAACCCAAAAGTACTCTGACAAACGTTTTGCAGTGTTCTATAAAACAAGACTCAGCTACTCTTGTTCTGTTATCAAAATCACTGAGTAACTACATCATATACTGTCACAGTTACCAAAACCATTGTGTAACTAAGCGGTAGGGAACAAGAAAGATACTATTTTCCCTTGTTCCATTGTATCTTTTGATGCAAAAAACCTCCTCTAGGCAGGAAAGAAGCTTCTGCTTGAGACACTGCAGCAGAGAGAGCAATCTGCATAGACTTGTTAAGTTTGTATACTCCTTGAAGACCAGACAATGAGATCCTTAGAAAACTGCTACAGAAAGAGCAAGAATCTGCCTACAATCTTTCTTACCTCAGGTATCTACTTATTTACTAACAAAATTCAAGCTTTGGACACTGCTAAGTATTAAGAAAGATGACTTATTAAAGCTGTTAATCTACACAAGAAAAACAGTCTTCCCCAGAAAAACTTCCATAAATTTTGGATGAAACTCAGATCAGTAAAAATAATGGAAAAACCCAGAATCCTCTGCTCTGCTCTTTTTGGCTTAGATAGAGTTAGTTTTCTTCACAGTTGCTGGTATTACATCATGACATCTGCTGTTGCCAGCATTAAAAAGTTTGAATTCTGCTATCAAGATACTACTATCAGATGGAACAAATAAGCAGGGCATAGCCCAAAGAAACAAGTTTTTTCTATTTTTATCTCTGAGACTTGTAGAAGTTCAAAATTTCATGTATATATGTACATGAATTAAAGAATAAAGAATATTTTAAATGCATATTTCTATATACACTATGCTAAAATATATATAGTTCTTTTCACACAGACTCTTAACACACATGCATGTTACGCTTCTCTTCTATTGTCTCAATATAACATAGTTTAATAGGATTCCCCTTATGCATTCAAACCTCTCTTCTGGTTCCATTCATGGGCATCACCAAGCTGAGCAGCATTATATGTGTATCCATCCCACTGACGGAAATAATCATCGGTGCTGAGTACAACGCCATCACAACTCTGACCAAGCAGAATGCTGTTAAACAAAGGGAAACACAAATGCATATGAACTTTAAATTTTCAGATAGATTAAAAGAAGACACATAAAACCGAATATAGCTAAAATAGATTTAACTGTGCCCTACTTCTGAACCTCTTGCAAACTTCAAACAGATTTATAAAAGTACACTCAGGTATTACCAATAATTCTAATCCAAATTAAAGCAATATATTTTCCCCTTCTCTACTACTTCTGTAGTTGGTGGTTCTTCTCCACTCCCAAGAGGTGTTCTGATTAGATCTATCTAATTTATGGCTTTACTGCAGTAAGTTCTAAGTACCTCATAATAACAGGAAATATTTACTAACATTTTCCATCTCAATTCTCACTTGGAAGTATGTCTAGAAACCAATCTGAACACAGGGCCTCCAGATGCAGCTGAAAAACGAACTGGATGTTTAAATCCTTTTTCAAGACCTTAAACTCTCAATGTGCCCCCTTCTGACCCTTGTCTATGCTGCTTGCACATTGGATGTGGGCAGAACAAGAGCAGAAAGATAAAACTACTAATGTTTACAGCTATTTCCCTGTTTTCAGGAAAACATAAAAGATCAAAATTAACTTCAAGACCATCCTACTAATCAAAGTCAAGATTACAGAAGAGCGTCCATATTCCTTCAAGATCCTATATCCTATTCCAGTTCTGAGTCTTCTCATCTGATTCTGACAACATAGTCTTATTTGTTCCTGTTTTCTCATCAACTCTGGCACTCACTGCAACATTAATCCATTGGAATTCACAAGACAGAAGAAAGCAATACTTTCCCCCCACTGACACATCCTGCCAACCCCAGGTTACTTTTCCGAAGCTTTAGCAGATTGAGACTATTTTAGAAAAGGCACCAAAGGGTGATACACCAGAAATTAATAACTACCAATGGAGATGTCCCCTGGCTGAGCAGCAGTAAGCTGCTGCATGGGTTACCTCGTCTGGTAGAACTGCAGTTTCAGTCTCATAGATGACAAGAAATTTAAGACAGAAATGGAGATATGAAAAACTCCTATCAGGGAATTATCTTGCTTTTCCCTATCACTCATAGGGTTAACAGGGTGATAGGAGAGTCATGCATTTTAACTATCCCTGCATGAATTAATTCAATTCAGGAGAAAAACTACTTGATTAGTGGTTTAGATTGTTTTCAATAAGGCAATGTCATTCCATGTGACTTCTGAACATAGAGACCAATTTTGCAAAATCTGATAATCTTGCACAAGAATTTGGGGGGGGAGGGGGGCACAAACTAAAACAAATTTGTAAACAAAAGGATCAAATGCAGAGATTCAAATTAGAATTCATTAAAAAAAAATATGAAAGACTGCAAAGCAAATTTCACATTTACCCAGTCTTCAGGCCTGACATTTCCAAGCACATCATAGATATTTCACTGGCTAGTTTACTTCATTTGTGGGTTGGGTAAGTTACACTACATTCTGCTTCTTACATAGCTAACATTAAAGATTACAGGAGAAATTTAAGTATACTTTATCAAACAATAAAAGACACGGTGGGGAAGTCAATGAGGGTAAAATAGAGAAATTCAGGGGGACACAGTTGCAATATCCACTGTTTACATGTTTATTTTTACTCTGTATTGTGAAATTTTCATTCCTGATATTTATTTATTACAGAAACTATTGCAATGGTTGATGTAGGAATACTAGAAAAAAATCCATAAAGCTTTTCAAGAATTCTGCATTTGCAGTGTCATCAAATGCCACAGTCAAACCTTCTAAAAGCATCATAAAGCTATTTTTCGATTTAACTAAAGTTCATTCTAAACACTGCCAGGCATGCCAGTGAATACCTGTGAGTCATGAAAAAATGATTATAGCAAAGTTACAGGAAGTTATTAACTGCTGTTTGATCAATAACATCAGAAGCTGTCAAATGCATAATCCTCATTCTGCCAAATGTAAACTTCATTTCAGAAAGTCCTTGGAAATTGGTGTTTAAAGGAAAACATTATATAACTGGGACAATAGTTCTCTTAAAGTCTGACCTACAGAAAAAGTGTGATTAAAAAACCTCCTTGACTATTTCAATCTGAAAATAGAAAACAGTCAGTTAGTATCACAGGGCATTTATAGCGCACTGCAACACTCAGATATCACTGTCCTATGGAAATTCAGGCAACTATTCAACCTCAGAAGTAGGCAACATACTCACAGCCAACTAAAACCAAACTGCACCAGCAGTATGTGGGATTGCACTACTGCTGAGATGGTAGGAACAGAAAAGAACCGGTCAGATCCCAAATATCTTAGGGGAACAAATATACGTCAGTTCTAAGTTACCATGCTTTCCTATACATCTGTGCAGGAAGAGTTACTTCAGTGTAAGTCTGACACAAGGAATTTGCTATGTTTTGCCACCTGTCACCAACAACAGATCTGTTATGAATCACAATATAATGACTGGGATGCTGTATTAAATATTAGCTTACATCCCTACATGTTTATTGTCCCACAAATATGCTGTTGGTTATTTTTGCTTTTAAGATACAGAGATATGTACAATAAAATTCAGATTACTAAGGACCAGAAGAAACTACTAATGGCGCACTGTCAAGTAACACGATCAAAGCTGCGCACAAACTGTTTTTTCCTCCTTGCTCTTTCTCCCTTTCCAAAGTATTAAGATTACTTCACCACAAATAGCAACCCTAACTGAGAAAGCAGAGCATGATACACCAAAGTACAGACACTCTTTTGAACAGCGATCAATAATTATTCTTTTTAGAGCCTAAATCTTTTAATAGGATGTGTATTACATTGGTTTAGAAGAGTGCAGAAGGATTCATCACCTATTTTTGGTCCAAGTAGAACAAATGGCACCAGTAAATCATACACCACACACACCAGCAATTTTTGTATCTATTCCACTTTAGTATAAAACACTTAACATGAATTTATATTCATTAAGTTACATGGCCATGATTTCACACTTGGCCTGATTTCCCTATTTCCAGTATGCTACATTCACCAATGCTAGAAAAACTGGATCCATCTTCCACACTTGCTTTTTGTGTGCTGACTGAATATACATGCATCTCACAGAACCATCTGCCTTAATAAAAAAAAGACAGCAAATAACATCTGGGATTCTTCTACTAGCTGAGGAGATGAACACATCCCTACAGTTCCTATGAGCCTGACCATTCAGTTTCTACAGAAGTATATATGAACTCATGAATCAACAGTAATAGGAGATTAATTTTCATTTTTATTCCTAAGAACTGATTCTGTTTGCTCTGTGTTTTAGAGAATAACTCATCTACTCAAATTCTTTTGTTGTACGTTCCAAGCACCATTAGTAGTAATAAAGAAATACAATGACAAGGGTTTAAGAAATCTTGCAAACTCATCAATATAGTTTATTCTTGAAATATTTTGTTAGTATTCCTTGAAGTTCAGAATATGCCAAATTATTAATGAACCTTTTTTTAACTGATATAACAGATTTAATGCAGCAAACTGTTTGCAATAACCCTAAAACCAGAGAATTTGACAAAGTGACTACCAAAGAGGCCAGAGTAATAGAACCCTTATACTATACTCAACACACGCTATCATTACTTATTAATCAGTTTATGAACTAAAATTTCAGTTACTACAGTAATGAATGTAACCTGTTTCTAAAGTGTGAAATTAAATCATAAAACAAAACACTTTCAAAGCCTGACAGTTACCTCTTTCAGAATTCATAGTGTTTAAATTTGTAAAATTCAAAACACAAACCTACTTGCTGACATCATATGGAATAACTCACATACTTCTAACACATATTTGGAAGTACAATTCATCCCAGGCTCACGAACTAGCAAACAGAAAGAACAAAAAGCATATCTATACAAAGAAAGCATCATTACTATTTACACCCACAAAGATATGATATTCCACTTTTGAGAGATGGAGAAAGAAAAAAAAATAAATGTATTTCTAATGAGAGTCAAATTACACATTAGTCAGCATCAACGTGTGCACATGCCTGAAATGAATAGCATGTTATCCAACTGCTGTAATTCAGCTTTTTCACTCTAAACCTTCCCTGCAACTGAACACTCACTTTTGACCAGAGTAGGCCACCAAAATTAAAGCAGCTATTAGAATTAAAGCAGCTCACCTACTTCTTCCAGACATGCTTATCTGCTCTGATAGAAGCTATAAGCCTGACATACCAAACCCATGTTGAAACTCAAAAGTTCATTTTAACTGGTCAGCAAACGAATACACATTTTCCTGCTTTAATTTTTCTTCCAAACTAAAATAGTCCCCAAATCTGCATCCTGGTTAGCCTACTTTGATAGATGATTTTGTAACAACGAAGTTATCTCAGGATCTAATAATTCACCTATTTAAAACAGCTAACATATCATGGTGAGGAAAAAATAGGCAATAACTAAATACAGCTTAGTAATACTACAGATTTTGAAACTATGTAACTGCTACTTTAAAAGCATTGCTTGTAACACTGTTTATAAAAATACATAATTAATTAAAAATGCACTTCTTAAACTACATTGATATTTTTTCTTTTTACTTCATTACACTCCTTTTTATTCAAATGAACGCTTAGGTATTTATGGAGGAATAGTAAATTGCAATTGCTGCCAATTTGAGTAGCAAAATATTCTAAAAATACAAACCTCTTTTCCTTAACTTTTCCCAGTGTTGTAAGATCCTATCATCATCTGCTTCTAATGGTAGCACACTTTTGTTACCAGGGCTAAAGATACCACTGTTGGGTATCTGTCAGGCCAAACTATTTTCAAAAGTTTCTAACTAAATGGCCAATCATTTCCAAAGCCAAAGAAGAAATACAGCATTTTTATCATGTTTTCATCAGCTTTTCTCTGAGAAGTTTGGATTGACAAAGTGGAGTCCGACAAAGTACATGCGTTTGTCCCATAAAAATTTTTGTAAATCCGCCCAAGGTAAACAACTTTCAAATGTCATGTGCACAGAAAATTTTTGTACAGAAAATGCAAAGATTCTCACTGCAGTAAACCCAACTTGGCAGTGGCAGGAAGTTGATTCAGCACCAGTACTACATTGCAAGGACACATTTCTCCCAACACGAGAAGGAACAGAAGGAACAAAATTGGCCTAAAATAGGAGGACATGGGAAGGATAGTGGTATAAACACTGGAACAAGCAACTCAGTACCGGCAGCAGAGCTACGAAATAGGGACAAGGCGAAGAGGGAAGCACAGGGAAGACATTGCTATAATGCATCTGGGGGTGAAATAATACCACTAGCTGAAATGGACAAAATGAATCTGGGATGGAGAAGGAACTGAGAAATCAGCTTAGAATTTAGAAGCAGACGTGGCACTAGTAAGCACAGACCAAAAGTAATGGTTGGATATGAACAGCAAAACAAAACTGGAAACAAGCAGTCAAGAAACAGGAATCTGAATGAGCTTCAGAAGGCTAGGATTGTCTAGGTCAGGTGAACATGGGAAATACATCAATGAGACGAGGGGAGCTCCCCGATGACCCAGAAGTCACTGATGTTACACTCATATTTAGGGCAAGTACAGACAAAGACCTAAGGAACTAACAGCTACCAAACCTCACCCAACCTCTGATCTGGAAGGACAATGGAGTGCATCCTCTTGAAATCTATTTCCAAACATGTTAAGGAAATGAAGGTAACCAGGAAAAGTCCATATGGGTTTTGCAACAGACAAATCAGATTTTTTCTTTACTCACCAGATGATGAAGCAATACCTTTGTCCATGAGGATGAATGCAGCCTACCTGGAAATCATCAGTGCTTCCAACATCATCTCCCTGTCACTAACAGAGTACAGAAGCGCATGGTAGCGAGACCAGTGATGAGGCAGAGAACTTGCAGATGACTCCAAACTAGCAGGGATGCTCAACATACTCATCAGCAAGCCTTCTATCCAGAAGGCCACTGAGAAACTTGAGAACTGGGCTAAGCAAAACATCACTAAACTCAACAAGAAAAAAAGAAAAGTTCTGCAAACGATGAAAAAGAAACCTAAGTACCAGCATAGGAGGGAAAGTGGTTGAGTAGCCCTGGTAAAAAGGATCTGAGGATTACAACGAACATCAAACTGAAGAGAAACAAATGGTGTGCTCTCATCAAAAGAGGAGCAAACCCCAATCTGGGCTTTAGTAAAGAAAATGTGATCAGCAGATTATCTGAGAAGAAATCACCCACACTCTACCTGATCTTGTGCAGTCAGTTCTGAAATACTGTGTTCAGGGTGAGGCTTCCCAGTTCGAAAGACATGCTGAAACACATGAAAGGGCTAAACAGATGGCTCCCAAGATGGTTAAGGGCATATAACCCACAAGGAGAGGTTAAGAGCAGCTGGACTTTTTTAGTCTGGTAGTTGAGGCAGCAAAAGGCCTGATATCAGCCTATTTCGTATCAGCCTATTACAGTGAATAAACCTATCCCTTGCCAGAAAGGAAGCTGCAAAGAAGATGAACCAGATTCTACCACAGAACAGCACATTATAACACAGAACACATGCAAATGATGGTTTGGGAATTTCAGCTGGGAGATTAGGAAGAGCTTCCTTAGTAGGAGGGTTGTACTGCACTAGAAAAGTTTGGCAAGATCATAGAATCTCTGTGGGTTTTTCAAGATCAGGCCTGGCAAAGACAGATCTGACCTGATCCAATGATGGTGACAGACCTGCTCCAAGTAGAACTACGGACTAGCTGATCTCCACTAGCCTCATGCCTATGATTCCAACTGCTTATTTGGAATGGAAGAGTCAAAACAAAACACAAACCTTAGTGGAAGACTCAGGACACACGTGGCTAAAGTTTGTGAGCAGGATGAAAAGTGTCTGTACTTAAGAACAATTTCTTTGCACAAAACACAAATAGAAATTTAAGATTCCTAGGTCTAACTACTAGTCCTGCTGTCATTTCATACTTGGAAAATCCACTTGCAAGATGCACCTCATTCCCCTCTAGTGCTGATCCACATAGATGATGTCAACTTTCTGCTTCTCCTTAACAGTCATGTTGCTCACACAAGGGGTATGGCTTTGTCTGCAGGTACTAAAGATGCCACACTTGCAAAGATACCTGTGGGTACTAATATGACACCAGATGACATAGTCCTAGTCTACACTGAAAAATTCTATGATGTTACACAGAAAAACATGTTCAACTTTATTAAGAATAAGACTTAACTAATAATTCAAGTATTTTCCCCGTCGGCAGCCATTAATTCTGAGACTTTTTTCCCCGCAAGGTATCCAAGACCCTGAGACATGATTTCGTGGGAATTAGCAATTGCAACCATCGAACATATGAAACTGCATGTAATTGAATACACTGGAAAACAAGTTCCACACAGTTCAAATTCTGCACCCACATTTGGTAACTATTCTTAACCTTGATTTCATAGTACCCACTTTCTCATCTGTTAAATAAAATTAGTAATTTATTTCACTAGTGAGAGATGAAAAAAACCACAAATATGTGTTCATAAAAAACTCAAGATACTTTAAATCTTTCAGAAAACATGAGTCATACATTTGGAAAAAGATTCTGAGACAAATTAGCACACCAAATACGGAATTTTTAATTAGTATCTCTACATTAAGTATTATCCAATTCCTTCATTGAATGAGGCAGCATTTTTTCCATAGACTTATTTTTTAAATTTTCTATGTTGCTTTCATATAATAAAGGAATTACTGCAATAATTCCTTGCACGTAAAAACATGCACGTGCAGGTTTGTAAAACATAGCAATCAGTAACTATAAAATATTATAATTAAAATTACTCAAACATGTAGAAAAGATATCTGTTAGAGATTTCTAGCTATGATACGGATATCATGTGTCTTAAACATCAGGAAAAACCCCAAAAACAGAATGTTACTCCTTTATACAAAACTCAAGTAAGAACATGATCTATTTCAGACTCCTAGCATACAACAGAAGGAAACCAGAGAAGACATCCCATTTCTGATGTAGTTTCTGGGTGAAACTCAACCAGTAAGTACTGAGTTAGTAACCTTTTTTTTTTACACAAGAAATAATTGCTGGTAGTATCTGTGTTCTATCTATGTCAATTTTTGTGCTTTTTAAATTAGGCTAAAAAAACCTAGAGTGAGAATCCAAGTTGGAGATGGCACCTGCTTTTAACCCTGCCAGACATCAACAAGTATATTTTAAAGAAAAAAATAATATTTTTCTTGGGTGTTCACAAATAAACAGTGCAGTTGACAGACCGTCCTATGAAAAAAAGGGAATGAGATTATGATCACTTTCACCAACACACTGAAAACAATTATCAGAGTAGCACAATTCTTTTAACGAAAATTTTTCCGTTGGAATAAAACTGTACTTCTGGTTCAGTCAAACTGATGCAGTTAAGATTTGACAGAAGATTTTTTTAAACGAAGGAATTTAAGAATTAAAAAGAGGTAGACCATCACATACTACTACTCCTGAAAACTTCAGAATAAACGATTATGCAATTTAATGAATACACAACATTTTAAATTTAACACAAAGCAGCTCCTGTTCATCAAAACTCTAAAGGAGACAAAATCCCCAAGTAAATACTTTTAATATTTACTGTCATTTGCACTCATTAAGTATAAATGACAGAAAATACTAAATTACTGCATTTTAGTAGCCTAATTTACAAACTAAAAAGTTTGCTAAGTGCTTACAGATATTTCCAAATTCTTAAAAATTTTTATTTGAATAAACTTTTCAAGCTTTATGACTTTACTTACCGAGAAAGTGTAGATTTCCCTGAACCAGGTAAGCCTCTTAAGATTAGAAGAAATTTTTGTGCACAACCAAATCTTTCTTCGGATAACTGCAAGGAAGAAAAGCTGTGCATTCCTTCTATATTGTCAGCTTTTGGATCCTTCCGACACTCTTCTTTGGTTTCACAGAAACCACTATTTTGGAGTCCCTTCTGGTCATTATTTTCATTTCTGAAGACCTGAGTAGTATGGATGTCACTATGACTAGCATAGCTGGTATTTTGATCAAGCAATGGACCATGATTGTTGATACCAATATTTCTATAATTACTATGACGATTTTCATAAGAAAGTTCCCCATTTCGAAAAGGGAGAGCATCTGGGATCTGTGGTGGGGAAGTAAGTGTCTGAAAATGGGATTGATGGTTGAATCTAGGAAGAAGAGGTCTCTGAGGTACTGTGAAAGATGCTCTAGTCTGCCAAGCAGGTCTGAATTCAGGCACTGAGCAGTTCCAATATTTAGTATCTACTTGGTCATTAAAGGTATTTTCAGTTTTCCAGCCATCTGTTTCCACAACAAACTGCTGCTCATTGCTTGTTTTCTGACTGTTCTGTTCCCCAAGAAAACTCTGTCCATTCTCATACGATGGCTGTGGGCTGTCCAACAATACGTGTTGACAGTCCTCTTGTGAGCTTGGACTGCAATTATATGGAGACTGTTGATCCTGAGAAATTTCAGTTTCTTTTTCCTGAGGATTAGTATCTAAATTTTCACTTTCCAGCTGGTGAATTTCTTTATAGAACTGGTCCAGTTCATCATCTATTTCTGGTACAGTGGCAGAAATAGCCTGCATCTTCTTAGCCTCCTTTCTTTTAGGTGTGTTATCATGTAATTCATTCTCATCTCCCCCACTGCTTCCACATTCATTGCAACTGACAGATTCATTCTGTTTGTTACTTTTGGCAGGTTTGTAAATAGGTCCTATAAATTCTTTGCTTGTAAAAAAATCTTCATCTGATGCATTTCTATTTATTGATAATGAGGTACTACTTTTTTTAGTATTATCTTCACCGGCATTATTCGTAATAAAAGGGTCTTTCTCTTCTTGAACTTTAGAGTCATTTATTGATGCAAATGGAGGATTTACATTCTGCACAGTTTCTAAATCAACTGGCTGACTAAGCACTGGATTATTTTCTGGGAGAACTTCATTCAATGACCCCAAGACATCAGTCAGTATTTTCTCTTGCTTCTGCATTTCATGTTGCCCTTGATTATCTGAGGCATATGCTGGTATCCAATCACTTGATGTTCTCTCAGCATCTACCTCCTCCTGAATACCTTGGTTTTCATCATCAGGGAGTTTCTCATAAGTCCCTTCTGCTGACTTCATTCTTTTAGAATATCGTTCAGTTTTTATTTCGTCCTGACAGTCCGAGAGCCTTACTCTATTTTCAGCATGAAGCATCTTAGAAAACAATGAACACATTATCAGCATGCATATTTTTAAGGTAAAGTATAAAAAAGTAGAACTTATTCAGGCCTATGACATCAGACTCTCCACAGTCACAACTAAAATGTACTCACTCAGGAGAAAAGCAGACATCACCTACCACAAGTATGGTTTAAACAAGACTGCCACACTGTTTGCTGCTCATAATAAAAATTGCTGCTTATAGTAAAAAACTACAATAGTGCTGCATCAGTCCAGCAGCAATTTTACAATATACCTCAAATAATTTACAAATCATGATTTTAAAATGTGAACACTTGAAAAACTAATTACATCAACAATCTCTGTTCTCTACTGACCTGTTACTCTGCCAAGTGCTAGAAATCTCTTTTACAGGATAAACATAGGCCAATTTCCAATGCACAAACTGATGCCTGACATCACTACTAATATGACCAACAAAAAAATACTTCAATCACAAGGATTGTTTTCTATGATACGAACCAAACTCAACTAATTCATTTAACACCAACTGAACAGATGCTGGACGGCATTTGTAATTTACAACTAGTCAAATACGACTTTAAATCATATCTGCAATCTGTTATGATGTTTCTTGTTTCAGAAATAAAGACTTCTGTTAGAGACCAAGACCTCTTGGTTACATGGTTTCTAAAAATAAACACACACAAAGAAAGAATCCTTGTCATAAACAGGTTGCATTCTAAGAATAAGACAGTAAGTTCCAGAAGGATTCAGAGACGAGCAATCACAAGCAAAGCAAGATGGCACTGACTCCTGTGACATGCAGTCATGCCATTATCCATCTAATTATTAGTCAGAATTTCTTGGATTTTGCTTTGTACTCCAGAAGTCTAGATAGTATGCAATTAACAGCAATAACAATATTATAAATCAAGTGCCAAGTAGTTTATTCAGCAAATCCTGGTCCCCCCAAAAATGGGGGATCAAACAAGAAAGAACGTGTTTCCCCTAATAGAGAATTTATTCTACTCCTTTCTGTGAACAGTTCAACTTTCTGGAAGTAAGTATTAACAAAATGTCACATACTCTTCATCCTGGACTAAAAAATATTTTTTTTCTTTTTTGAAAAAGATCTGTAGTAAGTATTAAAGGAAAATTTGTAAGTAACATGTTCACTTGCAAAACTGACAACAAAACGTGTTACTCTAGGAATTTTCTCACCTACTACCCAAAGGGAGAGAAACCTGCCATTCTCATTCTCCAAATGCCTAAACCAAGTTGATTTTTACTATCTGAGATTTTACTGACTTTACTACCTGGAACAGAGTACAGGGAACAAACTATCCGTCTTCCGCAGAATTGGTGGAAGGAACGCTGCTGGCACAATGGTCTCTCCTCTCAAGACATATGTGTTTTATGCATACCTCCAGTTTCTCAGTTCCTCCTTTCTGTAAATTAGAAAGCAAGTATGATATTATGTGAATAACTGACGCTATCCCCCATTTTTAAAAAAAATGTTAACTCTGCCTCCACTTAAAAATAGGATTGTGGAGGAAAAAAAGCTGCTTTATTAGTTCCTGAGTCCTCATCCTCCTCTGGGACGGTATTTAAGCAAAGCCAATTTTCTGATGTGGAACGAAAACAGAGAACATGTGAACACTTGCTGCATGACCGTATCTCCAGTGACGGAGGATACTGCTCTGTGACTGTCCCTCACAGGAACATCTTTTCTTGCTCATCTCTCACAGACTTTCCTTGACTATCCTTTGGGACAGCGAAGCTGCGCACAAAAGCATATCCACCTGCACTCTTGGGGACGACACAGCAAGCACGGAGTGAGAAAATGCAGCCTCTGTGACAGTCTCGCCTCTCGAAGGGGACAGGCACAGGTCTGTACTATCTCTGTAAAGAACTAGTTGCAAGCATTGAAGCCGAGCCGGCAGAAGGGATTCACCACGCTGCCACTTGCCACACTCAATCACCACTTTAACTGACTTGGCAAACATCCAGAAGGCTCAACCAACAACTTAAAGGACCTGAGCACGCCACACTCCCAGTGGAAAAAGGAGGCTTATGTGGCAGAACCTACAGACGGGGGAACTTATAGGCTGTGCTTGCGTGACCCCTCTGTGTGTACGGCGGTGACAACGCGCGTAGGCCTCACACGGCGCCAGCACACACCTGGAGCCGCGGGAAGCAGGCGCTGCTCCCATACCGGGCTGGGAGCCGAGTGACCGAGGCGAACATGCGGCCGCCAAGAGCCGCCAGAGTCGTCCCTCAGGAGGTGTGTCAGCCGCCCGCTCCCCACAGCGTAAAGCGTACCCCACCCCGCCCCCCTCCACTTCCCTCATGCCGGTGCCTGTGTCCGCAACCTCAGAAGCCGCCGGCCCCGCGCGCTGACACCGCTATCCCCACGCCGCCCCTTCCCTGCCCCGTCCCCCTCGGCCACACGTCGGTAGCAGCAGCAGCCGAGGCGGTGGCGGCGGAGGTCGGGGGAGAAGCGGCCTGCCGGCCCCGCCGGGCAGCAGCCGCCGCAGCCACCGGCGGGCGAGGAACCAACCTGCAGGCAGCGGCTCCCGGCCGTGCCCGGCCGCGAGGGGGGCGGGGGGGGGGGGGCCGCACCGCCAACACCCGCTCACAAAATGGCGCCGCCTCCCGCTGCCCCTTCACCCCGCGCGCGGCGCCGTGAGGGGCGGGGCCTTCCCCCACACGCCCCGCCCCAAGGCCCCGCCCCCGGCCCGGCGGGAAGGCCCTGAGGGGGGGGGGGGCGGGGCGGGGTGGGGCGGCTCGTCCTGTCTGGGGGTTTGTTCTCTCAGCGCGCCGGGGGGACGGAGGGTCTGGTTTACTTTGACTGGTATTCTGGTTTCCATGAGAGAACAGTAGAGATTTTAGCGAGATATTAAAGTTCCGATGAGCATTGTGCCCGGCGTAAAAGCTGCCCAAGTTTCCTAGACGTGTGCTGTAATAAACGTGAATTTCCAGGTTTTCCTTGCTGCATAAATAGAGTGTATTTTTTGCCATTATGTGACTACATTTTTTTTTCCCCAACTCGTGGTGTTATGGAAGGCAAGCCACATTTTTCCTAAAAAGTATTGTTCTTAAAAAAATATCTTGTAGCAGTAATTGCCCAGTGCTAATTAGTGCACGCAACAGCTCCTGTAAGTGATGTCCCCGTTCTAAATACCTTCAATACTTATTCTTTCACATCACCTCAATGAATTATGAGTGTTTGAAAGTATATCATTTATGAAGTCTCTGAATTTTTTTTTACTCTAAGTGGTAAAGAGAAAATTGGTTGTTAAAATCCATGACAGGCATTCCTTCCCATTACCCCTAGAACCAAAGCATCCTTTCCTGTGTGATGGCCTTATTTTCTGGAAGGCATGTGTGGAAGTATGTATCCTAGATAGCATTTTAATTTAGATCAGGAATGAGCTCTTGAAGTGAATCTCCTGGTTCTCCCCATTTGCCATGCTTTGTGAAGATTAGTGCTCTTCCAACTTAAAAGCTCCTGAGATACATATTGTGTGAATGCCACAGTCAGGTACTTTTCCAGATTGATTTGCATTTAGCACCACTGCCCCAGTTATGCAGACATGTAGCCAGAGCTGGGAAACCTGTGTGCAGTTTCTAAGGAATAAGGGTGGCATAACCTTGTCGCTCCGTTCCAGACTGGAAAAACAACATGTGTATTCTCCTAGAAGATGGGAGCAGTCCTATGTTTAGACATGGCCTTGCTGTGGCTTTGGGACCTGTATTTTGTACCATATTGTGGAATCCACAGTCAAAGCACAAATTTTAATGCCATTTTGAAGTAAAGAAAAACTCAGAAGGAACTGGTCATTTCTGCTGTAAGGTGTCCTTTCATGGAGGAAAATAGGAAATATCATAAGGAACTGACCTTTGCTATCAAGAAAAATGTAAATAACACAGGATACGCAAAAGAGAACATAAATGCAGGTTGCTGGAACTATAATGCAAATATTTTGCAAATACAAAGGGCTACACTGCTTTTTTCTTTTACTCTTTTTCATGAGATTATCTAAAGATAAGGAGGCTAGTCCCTAATTTTAATATTAAAAATATTTCATAATAAGATTCTTGACTTCTTGGAGAATTCTTTTCTAATAGTAATACTATCAGTTATTTAATCCTGAAGAAAAAACTATTTCCCATCTGAAATACTAATAATGTGCTTCCCTACACAAGCTAAATCACGAAATACCCAAGTTAACCATTTAGAGAGAATAAGTGTACTGCACTTGGACCTTTTGAAAGTAGTACCTGGAGATCAGAGCTCTCAAGTGCTTCATGTTGTGTATGTAGTAATTGTCTCAAATGTATTTCATTGGGGGAATTCTCCCAGTACTTGTGTACCTAATTAAAGAAGCCACATGTTACAACTGGCAGTACCCTAATGTCATTTTTTCAACCTCATTGAGCATAATAAAATATACTTTATCTGGTCATGTTATTACAGCTGCTACAGATCCCATATGGGGAGATGTTACACTTACTTGAGACAAGGCTACAAATAGTTCCCCCAGAATCCACCTGCTGCACTAGATAGTAAAAGAAGTTCCATTGGAAACATCATCAGGAGAATCAGATAGGGTATGTCAAAGTACTGTCCGAGGGGTCAAACATTCTAACAGTGAAAATATTTACAAAGAAGCCTTACCAGATTGCGGGTTTTCTTTGCTTGCAGAGGAGTCTGACTTTTTTAACTTCATTTTTTTCATATGTTTATAACTGTACTCAGAATTCTACCATGTACCTCTACTATATGTCACCCTAATCATGCTTCCTGTAATGTGCATCTATTTTGGTAGAACCTTTGCATAGAAGTAAAATATAAGATTGTAGTAGTCTTATTGCATGGGTAGCAAATTATGAAAAATGATGCCTTTTTGTGTTCCTTGACATTTATGCCATCACCTTCGTATTAACTCATGAAATGTTGTCTTTAATTGATCTAAGAGAAGAGTTAAAGGAAAAATTTCCACCTTAAATAGTCAGACTTTGACTATTTAGTTTTCCAAGTGTCTTGTTAGTTTAAGTTGATTTGAACCTTAAAGATTGCATCATAATTTGTACGCATAAAGGAAGTGAATAATGTTCTATGAAAAAAAATAATTTTGACGCTATGTAACTTGAGTGTTTGAACTGGTAAATGGAGCATTTTCTCACAGTAGCTTTTGCATTTGATTTCCTAAATAAAAGAGGGATGATGGCAGCTGTCCATTTTGGAGGACTGTCCTAATTCTTTTCAGGTTTACTAATGTGACCTGTCCCACCATGTTGCTCTACCCAGCGTCTCCTTGCAATTGTTGTTGTACTCACAGCGGGTTTGTTTCTATCCACTGTGACTGCCAGTCTCTTCCTCACCTCTACTGTTCCTTTCCAATATGATCTCGCTTCTTGTCTGGTTCCTGTTATTCCTTTACATTCCATAGTCCTGTATCACTTCCTACTACTAATGCTGTTCTTCTTCCCCTTCCCTCCCTTTCCATTTGATTCAGGGTGTTTTCTTCCTTCAGGTTTTTATCACTTTCTTCTTTCCTGCAAAAGACTGATGTGCTGCCTTTATCTTCTGCAAAATCTGGAACACAGCAGCACAGTGGCATCCATTTCCTCAGGGAAAACTCCCAAGGATAGATACATTCTCTTCAGGGAATGGCAGCTGTTATGGCAGCAGGAAGAGGACTGTTCTTCAGATTTCTCAGCAGCACTGGGTATTTTTAATAAAAGCATCATGCTATTCTTTTCTGTGTGGAAAGGTTTTCCTTAAATATGCATATGGAAACATTTTAGATAAAACTTTCCAAAATAACTCAGCATAAAGAAGGTAGCTGTCATGAAAAATATTAACCCAAAAATTAAATATTTGTTAACAAAGCAATAAATGCCTGTGTTCTGGCTTTTAATAGAAAAGATTAGGCAAAATTTAATATAGAAATGAGGAGACTCCATCTGTAATAACAAGGGAAGAAAAATATCCAGTGGGAACTACTTGAGATTGACTTGAATATTTAAGGGTTAATGTGGAGTGATAGCTCAATCATTTAGATCTTGTGCCTGAATCTTGTTATCAGTCTTGGCATAACAGAGGACTCTTTCTTCTTCTCATAAAACTGCTCTTCCAATAACACTTTAATAAAGCATGTATTGGAGTTCAAGAGGACTAGTTACAGACTTAGATATAATCATGCCTCTCTGTAAAGGGTAATGACCTTGGGTGGTAATTTGTCTTGTCACTCTACTAAATTATGTTTGGAAACGTGAGGCTTCAAGATGATTTAAGAAATACTGTTGCATAATTCCTTGAATTTAACTATATCTAGAGAGAAACTCTGGAGAACTTTATGAGAACTGATGTACTCAATAAAGTAAGATGTTGCTTGCCAAATTATTTTTATGAAACTTTTACATGGCAAAGAGGAACACTGATCACATCAAAGTTTCAGAGGTAAAAACTCAGTAACAGTTTTTTACTTATTAATTGCCGCTGATAATGTGGTGTTTTTTATTTTCAAATTTCAACTTGAGAATTAACTTAGGAATTACAGTTTCATAAAGTTGCATCTTTTTACAAAAAAAAAAAAAATCCTGGTAACCTGCTGGTTGTGTGATATAGAGGCATTTTTTAATATATGCAACAAATTTTAGTAAGTGATGTTTAGGCCATGGATAGATTGGATTTCTTTTGACTATAATATAACTAATTTGCCATTTAAATATTGTTATTTGATTCCCTTCCAGGACTACATGAATCCTTTTGGAGACAAAAATAGCAGGGAAAAAATAAAAGAAACACCTAATTAGTTTATTTTGGAAGTTCTTGAAATGTTTCATTTGATGGTTTTTAGCTGAAATCTCCATGAAATGTAGATTTTTATTTTTCTTGACAGTAAAGCACCTATTCTCCGAGTTACATTATAGCAAAACAGAACTAAAAGAATGGTGAGATTTAACCTTTAAGATCGAGTACTTTAGAAAAGGTAACAACTGCTGGCCCACGACAAAGCTGAGCTTATGGGTTGTGAAAGCCGACCAAGAAAACACAATTCTGAACAATTCATGTATTTCAAAGTAGAGCATGGGGAATTTCTAGGAAGCTGACACTCAAGGTGAAGGTCCAGCCACTGCTTAGTCTGCAAGACTCTCTAAATAGCATCTCAAATTTACATAAAAATGGAGGAGACTGAGTGTAATGCCTTCAGTAGACTGAAATTCAATGGGACATTAAAATAAGTAGCTTTAAATGGAGAGCACACAATGGAATGGCAAAAGCAAAAAGTGTGAGTAGAAGAAAGAAATGAAGCATTGCGTGTAGTTCCTGAACACAGGAACAAAGTATATAGAACAACTGAAAAATTTTATGCCACACAGTATGTGTAAGTATTTAATGCTTTATGTATAATGTTTGAGTGAGAGGATAAAATATTACAAAAATTTAGTGCAACCGTGCTTAGTTATGGCAGTGTTTACCTCCCCACTGTTTCATGGAATACTTGTTCATTTTAACCACTCAGTTATTACCTGAAAATACTTTTATTTGATTACTAGAAGGTGAACGACTGAAATGCTCACTTTTCAAATACAACTTACAGTAAATTCTTTTTTTTTCCCCCTATTTTGTCAAACTAACAGCATTGCTTAAAAATATTTAAGTTAC